GGTTTAGTTTGTGGGCCACAGGCCCGTAGCTAACACGGGGTCCCCTAGCAGTTTTTATGGGCCCCCTTCCTGAGCCTCAGTGCCCCTACCCCAACTCTCCTTGATTGCCTGTTGGCAAGGGAGGACAAGGGCAGTGATTTCAGAGGCTGTCCCTGGTGCTGTGCCGCGGGAAGAGGCACTGGGGCTCTTTGGGGAGGGGGGAGGGAGGGAAGGAGGGGGGCGCTTTATAGCGTTATAGTGCTATAATGGCAGTATATCAGCACCACTGGGATGCCTGGAGTGTTTTGTTATAGTGCTATAGCGCTATAAAGAGAATGTTAAAAAAAAAAGCCAGAGATCGCCCATGCGGGCGAAAAACAGCGGGGGAAAAGCGGGGAAAAGTGGTGCAGTCTGAAATGGCAAACCGCCTCAGATCCAGCTCTTTACCGGAAGGGGAAAGCCATGTGTGAAATGGCAGCCCTATACCGGTTTACTCCATGACAGATCAAAAATGGCTTCAAAATGGGTTAAAAATGGTAATGTGAAATTCCTCTGGGTCTTCCAGATACTAGTCCGACACTCTTAATGGCTACACCAAACTGGCTTTCTAGTTCAAATCCAGTTCCCTTGACCCCAAGAAATACTATTAAGCACTACTATTCCTCACTTTCCAAGTTTGTACAAAGTATTGCCTGAAATTGAACAGGTCATATTCAGCTAGCTACAAAGGTGGCACTGGGAAATCTCCCACTATTACAGTTGATCTCCAGATAAAATGGCTGCTTTGGAGGGTGGACTCTATGGCATTGTACCCTGCTGAGGGCTCTCCGCTCCCCAAACCTCACCCTCCCCAGGCTGCACTCCCAAAATCTCCAGGTATTTCCCAACCCAGAGCTGGCAACCCCATATCACGATGAACTATAAACGTTAAAGAATTTCGAACAGGCCTCGATGGTAGCCCTGCTATTTCCCTTGGAAGGAAATATTTTTCCTCAGTGAGAGCTCGTCAACTCTGGCTTGGGAAATTCCTGGACATCCAAGCCAAAGGTCAACTCCCCCTGTTACTGTGAGGTCACTTCCTCCCATGATAGGGTTGCCAAGTCCATTTTAGCCCCCAGCGGGGGACTTTGGGGGGTGTTCCTGGAGGGGGCAGAGCATCCCCGATGTGATGACGTCACGTTGGGGACGTCCGCCTCCTCCCACCCGCCCAATGGGCGTGCGGGGAAATGCCAGCTCCCTGCACTTAAAGGGGTCCCCCCCTTAAAGTAGAACCCCCCCAAAAGCGGGGGACCCCTGCCAAACCAGGGAGAGGTTTGGCAACCCTATCCTCGCTCACAACCCTAACCCGCTTTGGAGTCACTGGGGGGGAGTCACTCTCCAGGCCTTCCCTCTGTAGCCCTCTGTAGCCACATTGATATTCCACTCTCCTTTTGAGGAGCTCAGGGCCACAAATGTGTGGTTTCCCCTTCTTTCATTTTGTCACCACAGAAGCCCTGTGAGGTAGGCTGGGCAAAGAGAGCAAGTGACTGGCCCAAGGTCACCCAGCAAAAGCATGCTTCATGGCCAATCATCACATCAGGGATGCCCCGCCCCCTCCGGGAACGCCCCCCAAAGTCCCCTTCTGGGGGCGGAGATGGACTTGGCAACCCTAGGGAGCGATTTGGCTATGCATAAATTAGTTTGCTTTGGAGCCATCCTTCCTGAGCTAAGACAAAAATGTGTGAGCTGGAAGCTAAAAGACTGAACTAGCTCACACTAACTCAGCTTAGAGGGAACACTGGTTTTGAACACTAACCCTTCTTTGTATTTCAATGAATGTAATATACAGTTTTGAGCATAGTTGTGAATTGTAGATGGTCTTCCCTTGGTGGGTGTTTTTTTGTGGCTATCCCTAACTCTACGGCATTATACCCTACTGAGGTCCATCCGTTCCCCCAAACCTCACCTTCCCCAGGTCGTACCCCCAAATCTCCAAGAATTCTCCAACCAACAGTTGGCAGCCCAAGAAAAGGGGCTGCCTAAAATCCCCAATCCCTCAATATGCTCTCAAAAGTTCTTAATGTCCCCCCAAGATTGTCCCCCCCAAGGAGGTATGTCCTCCATTAATAGTCAGTGACCTAAACTCATGGCTGAAAAATCTGAAGGGTCACAGAGAGAATAGAAGGACTCACAAGACCTGGGGCTTCTCTCACACCTTTCAGTACAGATCAAATCCCCCGTTTCCCCCTTGGAGGGTTCCATAGGGGTGTTTGGATGGAGCACAGAGAACCCTGAAGCCGGTGGGAGGAACAGCTCCGCAGACAGGAGGAGCCTCCTGCAGGCACTGCCCAAAGGCATGCAAGAGAAAGGATCAGTGAACATTATTCCTTTAGGGAACGGGGATACCGCCTCTCCAGAGACATCCTTGACATGACCCAGATTTTGCTCTCCATGCTCCCAGGCATACTTGGATCTACCTTCCATTAAGTTATCTAAACTTCTCCCCTAAAAAACCACCTGAGGTGGCAGGCACTGCTAAGGGATTGGTGATAAAGTGTATCATATACCAAAAGGGAAGGAGCAGGAAGCAGATAAGGTGGCCTTGCTTCTATGGCAGCAACCTTGGGCAATGAATTAGCAGCTAATACTTTCTGCATGACTTGAATTTAAGGACTGGTTGGTCAGCCAGCCTGTAAACTCAGTACCTGGTAGGATCTATTCCCAGGTTGGATTTATTACTATATTTACATCTCACTTTCCGGGCACCTTGGTGTTTAGTCATGCCGGCCACATGACCACGGAAACGTCTTCAGACAGCGCTGGCTCTTCGGCTTTGAAACGGAGATGAGCACCGCAACCCTAGAGTCGGATTCGACTGGCTTTCGAGCAAGGGAACCTTTACCTTTACCTTTTTTCTTCTTTCATAGAACTCAGAGAGGGTCTCCTGCACTGTCACTGAGAGAGCCAGTTTGGTGTAGTGGTTAGGAGCATGGACTCTAATCTGGGAGTACTGAGTTTGATTCCCCACTCCTCCACATGCAGCCAGCTGGGGGACCTTGGGTCAGTCACGAGTTCTCTTAGAGCTGTTCTCTCAGGAGCAGTTCTCAAAAGAGCTCTCTCAGCCCCACCTACCTCACAGGATGTCTGTTGTAGGGAGGGGAAGGGAAAGGAATTTGTAAACTGCTCTGAGACTTCTTTGGGTAGTGAAGGGTGGGGAATAAATCCAGTTTCTTCATTTTCACTGGACAGACCCCCCAACTGGTTTAGCTTCAGTAACATTATCTGCCTACCAACCATGCCTTGAAATCTAGAATCCTAATTTTGGTCTCTACCTGCCCTGCACCTGCTTCTGGAAAACTGCCAGGCAGCTACACCCTCATACCTGTCTGGCTGGTTGAGATGTGACTTTATTCATTACATGGAAACCTGCTGAGCCTTCACTGTATCTTTAATACTGAATTCCAAGAGGGTTCCTGACACAACAGGAGGCCCTTTAGGGAGATGGAAGAAGAATTTAGAAGCCTGCACGTATGGTTGAGTCAGTATGAAGAGGGAAGTGGGATTGCCACCTGAAAGTACGAAAAGAAGGAACACACTGCAAGATGGTAAGAAGAAGAAGAAGAAGAAGAGAGAAGAAGAGATTGGATTTATACCCCGCCCTTCACTACCCAAAGGAGTCTCAGAGCAGCTTACAAACTCCTTTCCCTTCCCCTCCCCACAACAGACACCCTGTGAGGTAGGTGGGGCTGAGAGAGCTCTGACAGAAACTGCTCTTTTTCAAGGACAGCTGTGCCGGACCTATGGCTTGCCCAAGGTCATCCAGCAGGTGTGAGTGGAGGAGTGGGGAATCAAACCCGGTTCTCCCAGATTAGAGTCCCCACACTTAACCACTACACCAAACTGGCTCTCATATGCATCAGAACATTACCGGTACTTGGTCAGAATATACTGTGGTGGAGGGGCTGTGGTTCGGTGGAAGAAGGCCTGCTTTGCATTCGGCAGATTCCCGGTTCGATTCCCAGCTTCTCCAGTTAAAAGGATCAGGCGGCAGGTGATGGGGAAAACGAGACCCTGGAGAGCTGCTGCCGGTCAGAGCAGACAATACTGATCTTGATAGTTTTTTGTTCTTCAGTCACACGATCTTGATAGAGTGACGGTCTAATTCATGCTAAGGCAGCCTCCTGTGTTCCTGCAGTCCTTGTAAGGTATTAAATTTGAGTTGCCCAACCACATCCTAGGGCTGGGATTCCATTTGTCCCTTTACAATTACCAGCTAAGCAAATAAGCAAGAGTCCGGTCGCCTCCTAAAGACTCACAAAATTTATTCCAGCGTAAGCTTTTGGGGAGCGGCTGCAGCTTCTTCCTCCCACGTCTTTCTCCATCTTGGCAAGCATCTTTTCTCCCACCTGCTGTCCCATCTGCAGTCCTAACTTGCTAGAGCAGGCAGAGGAGGGATCAGTGGTGAATGCGAATGGAGTTGACATAAAGACGTGGACAGCGGCGGGAAGGCTGAGTCCGGGTGAAGCAGGTGGGCAGACACGTGTTAGTCTGTCGTTACAGAACAAAATCTGACTCCGGTAGCACCTTAAAGGCCAACACAATTTTCCAGGGTTCTTCCATGAGTCAAAGCCCACTTCATCTGGTATCGGACAAAATGAGCTTTGACTCACCAAAGCTTATACCCTCGAAAGCTGTGTTGGTCTTTAAGGTGCTACCGGGCTCCAATTTTGTGCTGAGTGAATGAGTCTTTTTTTTTTTTTAATGGAAGGTAGATGTGGGTTAAGTGGTGGTCCTCCGTAGGCCAGAGATGGCCTACAAGCCTTATCAATGGCTCACCACTATCTTTAACTAGCGAAGATAATTGCCCAGTAAATCCAGTGGAATTAAATTCACTCATGCTAACTGCGAGACTGGTTTTGTAATTCCATTTACATGATTTCATCAGACTTGCAAGTGAAGAACTTCCTCTTCCAAAGGCTGCTTGTCAAGCTGAGACGATCATTGTAAAGAAGCTGTAGAAGAAGATGGAGGATGAAGACGGATATATGAGTATAGACCCGGCAAGAAGGGACGTGTACATGTCATCTCCACGGGAGACTAAAGGTACTCTCTTAAATTTGTGTTCTTTTCATAAGTAGGGCATACTGGGAAGATTAAAGAACTGTAGATGTGATTTTGAAGGAGTTTGATTTGATAATGAAACTGGAACACAGGATTTTTTCCTTAAAATGTGGACAGAAATGTGTTCCAAATGGATATTGTGTGCATACAATCAGCGTCTCTCTCTGAGGTGGTTGCCCTATCCTCATCCACAGATAGTGGCACTGCTGTTTTTAGTCTTCATCAAGTACCACTGAATGCAGTATGGGGCTGAAATCAGCCACAACAAACTTGGTTCATCGTTTTGAATGGGATCCCTCAGTACCCACTTTATATGGATTAGGGTTGATGCATTTTTCAGTAAAAGATGTGGCCAAGACAGGTTGAGTTGTCACAGTAGCCCACGCTCTTCAGCACAGCTCTTTGACCCAAATGAACTGTTTATTATAGTTGGTTTTTTTAATTTTCCAAAAGATCATGTAAAAATACCCAATCGTTCCCCTCCCCCCACTATTACAGGCTACTTTTTTTTATACTCTTCCCCTACACCTACTGATAAAATTCTGTTAAGATAGAACAAGGGGCCATGAGTACAGTCTTGGGGTGCCAGCCTGGCTGGCAACCGGCAGAAGAATTTGGAGGGGGGACCTACCTGTCCACCATCCTCCAGGGTCATGACATCATTTCTGGCATGAACTGGAAGGGACATCAGTGCCTCAGGTGACTCCCTAGCATGGGCCCAAAACTTGAGTTTCGGGCGCATGCTAAAGGGTCACCCTGACACTCTGATGACACTTCCAGTTTGCACTGAATGTGATGTCATGACACTGGGGTGTGTGTGCCAGTATCCCTCCACCACGCTAGCAAGTAATGGTTGGGGCACTGAGCTGTTGGTGGGACATGAGTCTCCAGTCAAAGCAGGAGACTGGGGTGGCCTAGTACAATTTGTTGCAATCTGTTTGCCACGAATCCACAGCTGGGGACATTTAGTGGAGAGCACATGGTTTGCATACAGAAGGTCCCAGAGGTTCAGTTCTAGGCCAGTGAAAAACTCTCATGTGGGCCAGTCACTCTTCCTGGATCTCTGGAAAGCTGCTGTCAGTAGCAGAAGACTATACCGAGCTTGATGGACCAGTAATAGAAAGCAGCTTCATATTCAAATGAACACCTCATCATTTCTTTGCACATTGTGTATGTTTTAATCTCCTATTACATATTCCTTTTAGATTTGGCAAGGTTCCAGGGCTCAATGGTAGAGCACCTGTCGGCATGCAGAAGCGCCTAGGTTCAGTTCTTTGCATTTTTAGTTAAAAGGGCCAGGTAGGAGGTGATGTGAAAGATCTTGAAGATGAGATTTGCTGCCAGTCAGAGTAGCAAGACTGACCTTGCAAGGCCAATGTTCTTCTTGTTGTTGTTAGTATATGGCAGTGTGTGTGGAGTAGCCAGGAGATTGTCTGGCAGCCAGCAGTTCTAGCTCTTTTAGCGTTATGCACCTCTAGGTGGCAAGCTAGACTTTGTTTTTAAGGCAAAAGACGTTTCAGAGTTGGTTTGCCATTGCCTGCCTCTGCATCATGCCCCTGGTATTCCTTGGAGGTCACCCTTCCAAATACTAGCCACGGCCAACCCTTCTTAGCTTCTGAGATCTGATGAGATCAGGCTAGCCTGGGCTATCTGGGTCAGGGCAGACCAGTGGTCTGACTCAGCATAAGGCAGTTTCATGTGTTTGTTTGTGTTGGGGAGAGGCATCACATGTGCCACTTCAACACTGTGATTCCAGAAATCTGAAGTACGGGGTGCTTCTGTCTGGGCTGCTTCCCCCCTCCCAATCACCTTACTAGATCAAGGCTTGCTTACTTCCAATTAGTTGTATGCCACAGTGCTTCCTTAAGAAGCTCAAAACCACATATACAATGTCAGAATGATAAATATAACTGTGGAGAAACGCCATTTTATGCATATGTTTAAGTTGGTGTGGGCCAGATAGGAGGGGACCATCAAACCTGAGGCAGGCCTTGGCCTAGTCTCCTCCTCATCCCCCCCCCATCTCCAACCAGCAGTCAGAGGGCAGCTCCCTAGAGAGGACAGGAAGTCCATCAAGGCTGTGAGGAGATCTGCCCCAGAATGATGCAGGAGGGAGAGCCACTTCCTGGGCGGGAAGGGCTGTTTGATATAGTGGAGCTTTTGGGCGGGAAGCAGTCTATGAGAATTGAGGTCGGTCTGTCTGAAGTCTGGAGCCAGTCAGGCTGTCCGCTGGAGTCTGCAGAAGGCAGAGGCCATGTTGGGAGTTGTGCTAATTGTTGGGAGTTGTGCTGCAGCACATGTCTGTGAATGTGTCTACCCGTGCCACCCACACTCCCCCTTTTGGTTCATGTGTCCCCTGAGTGTTACCTCCTTACCAAAGGCGAATGGTGCAAGTTGGAAACCCCTAAGCGCTGGCAGAGGCACTCAAAGGTCTCTTCTTAAAACAAAACTTATCTTTATTAAAAGAAAAACATTCAAAGGTTTGCCTGGCAAGGTGGCTGGCAAGACGCTCTGCCACCTGCCAACACAGTACACTCCTATTTCCTAAATATTGATAGTAAATACACAGGAAAAAAAACATGCAAGCAAAGTCCTGTCCCACCCCAAAGCATGCAACGAACAAAAGGCCTCTCGGGCTGACTCCTACTAAGAGCCAGCAAAAGTCTGTTGGATCTGACCAGTATTTATACCAAATGACCAAAGAGGTCCCTCAATAATTAAATTACAGTTGTAAATTAACATTTTGGAGTTTTACAGGAAATTGCCTTCCTGCGTCTTACACAAGAAAAATTCACATTCCACAGGATCAATACAGTGTCATTGTTTTCTCCTGGTGTTTCCCAATCATGGGAAATAAACTGTCCTTTGATGTTATCTCAGATGGGGTGTGTGTGAACTCTCTGTATCTCAGGAAGTTAGTTTGTCTTTTGGATTAAAGTCTGCCAAACTGCCCAAATGGCCTTTCTTGTTAACACACATTTTATTGTCCAGGAAATTGTAGGTCTCACACCTGTGGAGATTTCCTGGGAATGGAATGTTGACCAAGAAAGAGATTTGCTTGGAACAGGGTTTGCAAAGAATCATGGGGTTTGGTTCAATGAAACAGGCCAAGGCTGTCTGCTGTTTTGCTAGCAATGACAGAGACAGGTACATGGATTTTATAAACTATTTGGTTCACTTTAAACCCAAACCTTCTATATTTCTAAAATTTCTTACCACACTAATCTAACCTTCTCCAGTGAAAGCAAGTCATGTGCCTGCCCTGCAGACCATCTAGACAGGGTGTGTGTAGTGAAGGGAGGGATGGAGCGATTTATTATTCACCTTTATTTTGATTCTTCAGTTCACTGTTAATATGCCTGTATATAGTTGAGTGGTTTCAAAATAAATCCTTTTACTGTTGATATTGAGAAGTCCCTCTGTACCGCATAGTTCCCCCTGCCGCTTGGACATGCTAGGGGTGGTTAGGGACTCCCTGAGGAGAACAAGAGCAAAATGGCCAGTTGCTAACTCTCCAGGGGAGTCCCAAAGATTGCCAGGAAGCCCTGAGGTGGGTTCCTAGCGACATCAGAGGGAGGTTAGGGGGCTGTCCTGCCTAACCAGAGACAGTGGTGGCAGCAATACCCGGAGGCAGTGGTGAAAAACTGCCCTTTCAGGTGCCAGGTCAGGCAAAGGAGGGGTGGGCAGAGTGGGGTCTGCCAGCTGACGCGGGCCCGTTCCGCCACAATAACAATCTCCATAATTTATTTTTTAAAAACCACCCTTGGTATTTATTTATTTATTTATTTGTTAGATTTTTATCCCGTCCCCCCGGCCTAGGCCGGCTCAGGGCAGCTTACAGACAGAATAAAATTCTGACAATCTTATAGCATAAAATCACATCAGTTAATATAAATACAATGTTAAAACCAAGACGGAATAAAGTGCTAGCAAACATTTCCTCATTTTACGGTCAGCTCCTTGGACACCTTCAGCTGTCTCAGGTGATTGGCTCAGGCAGCGGGACAGGGTTCCTCCAACGTAGGTGTCAATTGTTCGTGGAGGTAGTAGTGGTGGCGGCTCCAAAAGCCTGGCAGAAGAGCTCCGTTTTACAGGCCCTGAAGAACTGTGAAAGGTCCCGCAGGGCCCTGTTCTCTTCTGGGCACTCATTCCACCAGAGTGGAGCTGCCACCGAGCTGCCCTGGCCCTAGTTGCCACCAGTCTGCCTCCTTGAAGCTCGGGAGAGCCAGCCGATTCTGGGTCCCAGATCGCAGCGTCCTCTGTGGGTACATATGGGGAAAGGTGGTCCCTCAGGTATGCAGGCCCCTGGACATAAAGGGCCTTAAAGGTGAGAACCAGCATGTTGAAGTGAACCCAGTATGCTATAGGCAGCCAGTGCAACATCTTTAGCATTTTTAGTTTTGCGACAAGGGCAGCCCCATGTAGAGGGCATTACAGTAATACAATCTCGAGGTGACCATCGCATGGATCACTGTTAACAGGTCATTGCATTCAAGGAAGGGAACCAACTGCCTGATCAGCCAAAGATGGTAAAAGGCTGACTTGGCAGTGGCTGCTACCTGGGCCTCCATTGTTAAGGAGGCATCCAGGAGCACTCCCAGACCTTCGGTGCTGGCATGAGTGGTGCCCCATATAAGGTCGGGAGTGGGATCTCTACCATTGGGCCGCTTCGACTCAGGCACAGGACCTCCGTCTTCATCAGATTCAGTTTCAGCCAACTCAGCCTAAGCTAACCAGCCACAGTTGTAACGCCCGGTCTAGGTCTTCCGGTTTGGAGTCGGACTGGCCGTCCAACAGCAGATAGAGCTGGGTGTCATCCGCATACTGGTAACAACCCAGTCCATGCCTCTGGGCAATCTGGGCAAGAGGGTGCATGTAGATGTTAAAAAGCATCAGAGACAGCACCGCCCCTTCAGGCACTCCACATTCCAATGGGTGCCTTCGGGACAGCTGATCCCCCAGCGCCACTCTTTGTCCCTGATCTTGGAGAAAGGAAGCAAGGCACTGCAAGGCTAGTCCCTGGACTCCAGTGTCAGTGAGGCGGTGGATCAGTAGCTGATGGTCGACCATATCGAACGTGGCTGACAGGTCTAACAACAACAGCACTGCCGATCCGCCCCAATCCAGATGCCTCCGGAGGTCATCTGTGAGGGCGACCGGTGCCATCTCTGTCCCGTGGCCAGGGGGAAAACCAGACTGGAAGGGGTCTAAAATGGAAGCGTCATCCAAAAAGCCCTGTAACTGCATTGCTACTGCCCTCTCTATTATCTTGCCCAAATAGGGCAAGTTGGAAACTGGTCGATAGTTGGACAATTCGGCTGGATCCAGAGATGGTTTTTTCAGGAGGGGGAGCACCACTGCTTCCTTAAGTGCCTTTGGGAAGTGCCCCTCAGAGAGGAACTTGTTGATAATCTCCCAAAAGGCACCCCATAACCTTCATGGCCAGCTTTAATTAGCCACGAAAGACACGGATCAAGGAAGCATGTGGTAGGGCATTGTCAGACCCCAGAGGAACCACTCTTCATGCAATATTCCTTAATAATGTTTATTGGGAAGATTTGGACTTCTGGTAAGGTTAACACCTTTGTCAGAACTAACAAGCAATAGCACAGGGTTGGTAATTGGGGAATGGGTTCCACCCCTCAGCCATACATCACACACGCACAGGCTTACTACTGGTCATGAAAGAATATACGACCTAACTAGCCATGTCTCAAGTCTTATCACTCCCAAGGTTACTGGTCTAGCTGGAACCTGTGAACCGTATGGGGGTAGCTTCGGGAAAATTATGAGCGGCGCCTCCACACAACACCAGGCACTAATTCTCACACTCCTCCCCTCAGGAATGTCAGGGAGGACTGATAAGGTAACAAGCAAGTGGGCAGATGAGCAAAGTGGACAGGGTTTACGAAAGCGAAAGTAAGCGTTAGAAATACAAGGCAATAAAGTCACAAGCATTGATCAGGGAAAGGGGTCCGATCCTGACAGGCTGTCACGGCTCAGGTGGGGTGTCACCTGACTCTGCCACCACTCTGGTTTCAGACTCCCTTGAGAAGGCCCAGAGCACCCTCCCAAGACCTTCTGACCTCCCTTTTGGCCGAATAATAGGCATGAGGACCAGGTAGAGTGAACAATGAAAATAGTTTATTGTATAAGAGGTCAAACAAACAAGGTGCAGAAATACAACAGTAAGTGGGTGAAAATAAAATAAATCAAATGCCCTAACAATCTAAATATATACTGTCCCTAGCTCACTATCTTAAGTGGCCTTAGACTACTCACCCTTCCCTCAGGATGAGGGTTTCTTCCCCACAGCAGCCTCTTTCTTCTGGCCCTGTTTCCTGGGAAAAGAACAGCTTTTCCTCTTGTACCAGTTCTTTTATTCCCCAGCCCTCTTCTTCCCTGTTTGTTCAAAATCCGCGCCAAAACTTCCCAAGGCCTTCTGGGGTTTGTAGGCCCAGCCTCCCCTACTACTAGCCAGACTCCCTGGGTCTAGTAGGCCTCTGGTGGCATAGCCCAGATCATGACACAGGTATACAGTTAAGAGCAATTTGTCAACTTCTTCTAGGCTGAGCGGGCTGAAATAATCCATAATGTGACTAGAAGACGTGGTTGCATATTGTGTATGCAAACAGTTCCAGCTAATGGAATCAATAGTGACACAGCCAAAGCGTGTCTGTCACCTGTACATAAATCCTCAAAAACCTTCTTTGAAACCAAGGCCTGGCACAGATTTCTTTAAAACTTCAGGTTGCAACAGAGGGCCAAGCTACATACTATATTACAAAGCAGTCCCAGGAGATGGGATTTGAACTGGACTGAAGCACTGAAGAAGGGGGTTCCCTTCTGTAAGCCCACATGCCTGCTATGGTGTTTTTATGAACTAGGTTACTGTACCTGATGAAGTGTGCCATCGCTGTACCTGATGAAGTGTGCCAACGACAGACTGTGCCAGAAACTGACATGCTGTGAGCACCCAATAGGGATACTTACCAAAGACTGTGTTCCTGTAATGGTGGTTTCTCCTGAGGTGTTCCCATGTCCAGCAGACTCCATTTCGTTCCAAGCACATGGTCACAGAAAGCAGCAAACGCCATTTCAGAACAACCTCCTGGGGCCCCCCTCCCCCTCGCACCAACAGCACGTACTCACAAAGACCCTATTCAACCTGGCTGCATGGACATGAGTCATCCATCTACATACGAATACCCCTAGCCCAGGTGTCTTGATTGAGTTAGCCACTAGCTCTCAAATTGCCCGCCATACCCCAGGCCCTCCCAGAGAAATACAGTAGCCAATCCCTGACCTTTTGGCTATGACCGAACACAGCATCACAAGGGGAGATCTCCTGGCCCCAGTCCCTCCTCTGACCCTCTCTGATATAATCAGAAACACACCTCCAGTTCGGTCTCTTGAGCATTCTACCTGAACCCCCCCAGCGCTCTCAAACTACGCCCTCTATTTAACCTGCTTTACCCTTCAATCCATCTTTCTATCCCAAATCCTTCCCATCCCTCTCTTTGTTCTAGCAGTGCACAGCTAGAACTTCTTAGCACGTGGTCTTAGCTGGTCTGAGTCCATTCGCTATTCTTTTCCATTTTCTCCCAATCCTTACCCCTTCGCTTGAAGTTTGGAGCCACGCAGGAGCAGCTAGGTAATTATACCCCAAAGCATCAACCAAAGTTACCTGCAAATTGCAACTGTGCTGAATTATTCTCTCTTTATTTCTTAGTTCTTGTGTGTTGTGATTGTTGTGTGTTATTGTGAGAAGTGAGCCAGTAAACTATAATTATTTTAAGGAAGTCTGCCTCAGTCTCTTATTGGGAACCTCAGAAACAGCAGCATCCTCCGTAAACCATAGACGGTGAATCCCGATAAACTGTTCCAATTGTTTCTCTTTGAGAGCAATTTGGCTAACACTTCCAAGCTCTCTGCATATTCCAGTTTCTTTGGAGAATGTGGCTGCTTTGGAAGGTGGACATTATATAGTGGCATTATACCTGGCTGAGGTCCCTCTTTTCCCCAAACCCCATTTCCCCAGGCTCCACCCTAGGGTTGCCAGGACCTTACCTTGAGCTGGTGGGGGGTGGGAAGGAGCCTTCTCTGATGACAACATGTGGAAGTAATGCCATCACGCCGGGGGTATCACACAGAGACGTTCTGGTTCTTTGGGCAAACTCTTATGGTAAAGTTGGGCTCAAACCATAGAGTTTTGCCCCAAAACCAGAGCATTGCCATGCAACATCCATGGTGTGATGGCTTCACTTCCACGTGATGTCATCAGGGTCATAGCTTTTGGGGGCAGGACTTCCCCCACTGGCCAGCTGGCTGCCAGTGGGCAGGAGCCCACAAAATTGGGGGATTCCTCCTCTTCTACCTGGCCACTAGCAACCCTACTCCACCCCCAAATGTCCAGGGATTTCTTAACCTAGACTTGGAAACTTTATCCTACACTGAGTTATGTCATTCCAAGCCCATTGACTTAAATGGATTTAGAAGGGTATAGCTCTACTTAAGGTGCATTGTCACGACCCCCCTGCCCATTAATTTTTTTCTGAGATAGAACTGCACACTGGATAATCTGAAAGGCAAGATGCCTTTTCTGTGCCTGACTTCCCCCTTACTATGGCTGAGCAGCTAAGTATGTATGGGGATTCAGCTTTGGGTAAAGAATTGTGTTTCACCATTCCCTAGACACATGGTCCCAATTTGTTACCATCCCACTGTTGATTTTTATATCCAAAATGGAAGTCAAGGGCACTGGAGACTTGGGGGTTGGAGCCCTGAGAGGGCATGGTTTGGGAAGCGGAGGGACCTTAGCAGATATAATGCCATTATATAATGTCCACCCTCCGAAGCATCCTTTTTCTCTAGGGGAATTGATCTTTGCAGTCTGGAGATCTGCTGTAATTCTGGGAGATATCCAGGCCCCATCTGGAGGTTTACAACAATTTAAGGAAATTGATGAATCAGTATAGACCAGTGGTTCTCAAACTGTGGGTTGCGACCCCTTTGGGGGTCAAATGACCCTTTCACAGGGGTCGCCTAAGACCATCGAAAAACACAAATTTTCGATGGTCTTATGATAGCAACGAAAATAATTTTATGGTTTGGGGTCACCACAACATGAGGAACTGTATTAAAGGGTCGCGGCATTAGGAAGGTTGAGAACCACTGGTATAGACCATATATGACAATGTCAAATAAAGTTCTAAAGTATTCCAACTTTATGGTCCATTTTGGAATTGTGAAGTCTTTTCTGGGATTGTAAAGTTTTCTTTAAACCCTTAACCTATCTGAGTATCGATTGTGTTTTATGTACTGTATAACCATTAGTATATTGAATAATAAGCAGATTCTAAGAGCTGGAATACTTTGCAGCTTTATTTGATGTTAAGTCATATAAGGCCCATCTGGAGGTTGGAAACCCTAAGCAGCCTCCATTCACAAGGCCCTGCTTCACACATATGCACAAACATACTCACTGACCAGTGTTTAAAATCAGGGCTCTCTCAGCAAGGCAACCCCGTTTCCAGACAGTTGGGAGAATCTCTGTGGAGAGAAGCGTTCCTTCAAAAGTGTTCCAGCAGGCCCAGCTTTGGTAAGGTCTTTATGGGTCAAAACCAGTAGCTCGAATTGGATCTAGATGATACTTAGTACTAGCCAGTACTGTTCATGCTGCAGTTTATGAATATGTTGGAACATCTTTAGCTACCAAAAGCTGGGCACAATTTCATTTAAAAAACCTCATCTGAAGACATGGCAATCTGTTTCCCTGTGTGGAACTCCCTTGCCAGATTTTTGTCTTATGCTTTCTGTAGAACATTGTAGTTATTGGCTATCTTTGAACTTTGTACTGAAAGACCCAAAGGTGAAGCTTTTCCAGAATTTCACCCTCAACTTCAATCCCACAGATATTTCCTCAAACCTTTGCTGGTGGAAAATTGGTCTCGGTGTTTCTCTGGCAGGAATTGCTGCTCTGACTGTGGTTCTGATCGTGGTCAGTCTTTCAGGTAAGCATTTTCTGCTCTTTTCCTTCTGTTTTGGAAGGACCTTTCCATATAATGAGGGCTTTCCACTCTATTCATTTGTTGACCACAAATTAGGGATATCAGCTTCCAGGTGGGGCTTGGGGATTCCCCTGGAACTATAGCTCACCTCCAGACTACAGGGATCAGTTCTCCAGAAGAAAACCAAGGGTATAGCATTATATCTCACTAAGGTCCCTGTCCCCCGAAGGCTCCACTCAAATCTCCTGGAATTTCCCCATCTGGATCTGGCAATACCCCCCATCCCCTGCCGGTGGCCAGAGGGGACCTGGCAACCCTACCACAATTTGTCTCAGGGACTCGGGAGTGAGTTTAGCCCAGTGACAAAGCTAAGAGATTACAGCATTTTAAGTTTTGCCCTGGATCTTCCAGAGAATTCTTGTAAACAAATATTTTCTGGCTAAGCACAGAATAGTAGGGGGAGCAGCAGATAGCAGACTACATGTCCTCTGCTCTAGTGGGTATGTGGCAGGATATGCATTTTTCTATTAAAAACCAAGGCTGGTTCCAGGTTTCGATTGGCCCTAGCCAGTGAGTGATCAGGGCCCCACCCTTCCTCTGCTCGCCATTGTGCCCTCCATTTCCACCTCCTTGCTCATCTGCCTGCGGTCTTCGTCCTCACTACTTAACCATCCATCCTCTTCCACCCACTCATTCATTTTCTCATCCCTCTGGTGCTCGCCCACCCTTCCCTGACTGTACTGGGCAGTGTGTACAGCTGGGAGTGTTGGTGGTGGGAGGGCTCATAACAAGAGGAGGGGGGTGGCAGCAGTGGCCCCACCTGAAGACCGGGCCTTTGGTAGCTACCCCACCTCAGAGTGTGTTAATGCTGACCCTGGTAAAAATAATATTTAATCGCTGGGAAAGTGTGATTCATTGCACTATGCTGGTACCATTCCCACTGCTATGCATATTATAGCGCCCTTGGTGGCTGTTCATTTTGTAACCCATCATGTCTTTCTAGCTTTCCAGGATTCCTCGCAGACGGACGTATATCCAATGCTCTTCCCTGCACGCTTATGTGGCTCAAAGGATAGCAGTGTCCTGCAGAGTCTTTATCAGCTCCCGAAATACAATTCATGCACATCGAGTGAGGCCTCATGCGCTGGTGAGTTCAACTCTGAGTGTGCATTAAGAGCACAAGTCCATTTTGTCATGAAAACCTGGTCAAATTCAGTGCTCCAAATGTGGTGGCAGCTATTACCTCAGATGGTTTTAATAGGTATTTATAGACCCCTGCCACACAGGTGGAAATTGATGTGGCCAAAAGAGACACGCGGCGGCGGGATCAGACTGATCCCATGAGCCACTGCGCGGTTGCTCCCCGGCACGATCAGATGCCAGGGGAAAAGACATGGAAGGGAGCGCGAGGCAGCCAGCTGCACATGTGTGCGCATGCGCAGTTTGGCTGGGATCCTCGAATGCTCCTGAAGACGGGCGTTCCTGCGATCCGACGGCCGCGCTTGCTGTGGCGTTTCAGGTAAGTCCTTCTCTTTACTAGGTTCTTTTTTGCTCTGTGTTACTGGGCTGAAGGGACGGATCGGGGACGGGTGCGCGCCGCTTCACAGATGTTGCGGTTTGATCGCACCCATTTGTTGCGCCCCCGATCCGTCCCTCTTCCGGGCCTAAACCTCCCATGTGACCGTGGCCGAAACCTCTCTTCAGAGGTAGTATTCCTCAGAACTTTAAGGGCTATTTTCGTCTTGCCCTTCTTGGGAATTTTTCTGAGGTAGGGTTGCCATCTCTGGGTTGGAAAATACCTGGAGATTCGGGGGGGGTAAAGCTCAGGGAGGGTGGGGTTTGGGTAGGGGAGGGACCTCACAGCAGGGTATAATGCCACAGAGTCCACCTTGCAAAGCAGCCATTTTATCCAGGGGAACTGATCTTGGTTGTCTGGAGATCAACTGTAATAATGGGAGATCTCCAGGTGCCACCTGGAGGTTGGCAGCCAAATCTCTGAGACATCTCTGTCTGCTCACTGTTTCAGAATGCTGGACTAGATAGTTTTTTGGTCTCGTGCTTCCTGATAGCCTCATGGGGGCAGTTTTTCCTACTCCATTTAACCATGTAGCCAGGCTTTTTTTTCAGGAGGGGGTGCCGGGGTACCAGGTCTGCACTAATTAACTTAGATTTAATTTAAATGGCTTCATGCGGGGAAAGGGGTGCAATTTGACTCTGAAGTCCTCCTGGTTGTGTAAGAAGTGCCCAGGCCAGGATTGTGCCTTTAAGAGCAACAGAGGGGCATGGAGCAGGCCTGGCCAGCTGGCAGGCACTGTTAAAGGAGACTCGCACTGGGGAAGTTCAAGGCAAAGGCAGCAGGGTCGGGGAAGCCTTGACCATTGCAGCAGGCAGTGCTGGAGAGCCCCACATTAGAAAGCTGCCCCACACGCCAACACTGCACAAAACACCTATTGTTGAGCTTTTTACCTCGGCCAATCCTTGCGGCTCACGCCCCCCTCCTATCAGCCACCGCCACATCGCAAGAGGCGAATTCCACACAACTGGGATGGGGAGTCCTCAGTTCGTGTTAAAAGGCTAGCCTAGACCAGTAGAATGGGGCCGCAGTAGCTCAGGGGTTAAGATGCTGAGTTGCAGACCGAAAGGGTCAGTAGCTCAGCAGTTCGAGAGCATGACGGAGAGAGCTCCCGTCTCTGGCCCCAGCTCCTGCCAACCTAGCAGTTCGAAAGCAAAGAAATTGCAAGTAGATAAATCGGTATCGCTTCAGTGGGAAGGTAACAGTGTTCCATGCGCCTCGGCATCTAGTCATGCCGGCCTCATGACCACGGGAGAAGTCTTGGGATGGTGCTGGCTCTTTGGCTAGGAAACAGAGATGAGCACCGTCCCCTAGAGTCGATTCGACTGACTTTTGAGCAAGGGAAACCTTTACCTTTACCTTTACTTTAGACCAGTAGAGCTGTTTGTTTGAAAGAGACTAGCGCAAGCCCAGGAACGGTCTCCTCAACTAATCTATAGCCGAATATTCAGAATGGCAGAAACAACATAGCTTCCCACAGTGAACTGCCTCATTCTCCCTTTTGAGCTAGATAGAAAGACATGAGTGCTGAGTAGATCGATCTGCCTCCTTGCAAATGTTCAGTCAACATTTACAGATCAAGATGGGTAGCCATGTTAGTGTGTCTGTGGCAGCAGAAAAGAGCAAGAGTCCAGTAGCACCTTAAAGACTAATAAAATATGCGGCAGGATACAAGCTTTTGTGAGTCACTACTGACTTCTCGATGTTTACAGTTTGGTTTTTTTCCTCTTCATTTGACTTAAAGTGACCTAAGGGGGGGGGGCTGCTAGGGTGGGGCTGCTGTAGATTTGAAAGGGGGCGGAGCTCCGTATGCCCCACTGCTGGCTATGGCCTTGACTCCATTGCAGGCTTTATATCCGGGGTCAGTGGAGAAGGAAGAACAAGGACTACCCAATGCTTCCTGGGTGTTGCAGCTACAGGGCCTGGGCCACAACATTTTGGACAGGTTCTCAGCAGGGGTGCTTCATGTCTCTCTGCCTGGTTTCTGTGGCTGTGCTGGCTGTGTAAATGTTCATTTTTTTAAAAAGTATTATTAGGATTTACCCCTAAGATGGGAAAGGGCCAGGGGTCTTGTGGGAAATTAATATTTTTCTGCATTCCTAGTGCCGCTGCCCCTAGTACATGTTTACCTCCCTTCCTTTCATGCCTGGCCCCATTGTACAGTTTTTATTATCTGTGTGGTAAGGGGAAGTTACAATTTAATATAGTGAGAATATTTGTGAAAAGGAAACTGAATCCAGCTAGTGCTGCCTCTGGAATTTTTCACTGCTCCGGGAAATGGGGATGATGCAACACTATTGATGGGGACATGTTGGTATTTCAGATTATTCCCTGCACATTTTATAACGATTCAGTAGTTCACTTTTTAAAACTTCTTCTCCAGCCTAAACTTTAAAATCATAACTTTGAATCTCAGGAACAAATCTGTGATATTGCACCACTTTGTGTGTGAGTGTGTTTTTAATTGTGCAGCATAATTTTTTTGCTTTATTCCTTCGGTCTTGCACAGCTGTTCCTTCTGAAATCTGCGTAGAGATCCCAAAGAGCCCCATAAATGCTGTGGTCAATCAAACAGCTATCATTCCAGTCAAAATTCAAGTCCCAAAGCCTGACTGGGATTTCATCGAGGTCCTCTGGCACCATACCCGAGGAACTCCACAGGACTTCATTCTGAAATATGGCCTGAGGTCATGCAGTCCCAAGAGCAAACCACAGCTGTGGTGGAAGCGTGAATGCCACCTCCTTTTAGAGGTTATGCCAGCCCACCGGTGGAGAATGTCGGCCATGATGAACGCTTGGCTCATCATCTGGAATGTGGAGGTGAAACATGCTGGAAGATACCAAGTGACAGTCAAATCTAACAACATGAAAGAGGCATGTAGTTTTGTGGACCTGAAAGTAACAGAAGGTAAGAGAAGGCAATGAGGGAGCAGTTTGCAGGGGTTGTATAGTCCCAAACAGGAACATGTTCAGTGGAGTCCAATGGTAAAACTGCTTCTAGACTTTACCATGTCAGGCTGTCTGGTAGAGGTTGTATGTTTGAATTCTTCACTATTGGGGGTGGGGGGACTTCTTGCGTACTTGGGATATAAGCATGCCAGGGAGATACCTAGTTGAAACTTTCCCCATGATGTTCTGATTTTCTCTGTGTAAAACGTTTATGTGAGGAAATATTCAGCAAAATGCTGGAGTGGATCCAACCATCCTCCAAGTTACTTCCTTCCAGCTGGAGGATCTCTCCTTCAACTTAAGTGGCTCTTCTTCTTATGGAAGAACCCTTAATTGGGATAAAGCCTCCATAGATTGGAGGAAGGCTTCAGCCTTGAGCCATAAAAAGGTGGGGTATACATACTTTAATAAATAAACTTTGCTAGGGTTGCCAAGTCCATCTTCCACCTCCAGCGGGGGACTTTGGGGGTGTTCCTGGAGGGGGTGGGGCATCCCCAACGTGATGACGTCATGTTGGGGAGGTCTGCCACCACCACCGACCCGCCCGTGCGCCGGATCTCCAGAAACAGCAGTTCCCTGCACTTAAAGTAGCCGGCAGCCGGCATTTCCCCTTTAAGAGCAGTTGCGTTTCCCTTTTAAGAATGAAGGTGGCATTTCCCTGCAAGCTTGCAGAGTTCGCGCTTGGGATGAAACACAGGTTGCAAACACTTAAAGGGAGAGAGATGGGTGGCTGTGGGTGTTGGGGGTGGGGCTTCACCCACCGGCCAGATAGCCAGCGGCGGGTAGAACCCCCCAAAATGGGGGGCCCCTGGCAAACCGGGGGGGGGGGGGGTTTGGCAACCCTAAACTTTGCTCAGTGTAGTGGTAGGATAAGGAAAAGATCCACTGCAGTAGCTTTTCTACAACCTGAAGTGGTACAGTCCTGAACATAATCTTAGAGGTAGGAGGTGTGGAGGCCAAGAAACCTCCCGTGGACCAGAACCAGAAGTACATGAGAATAAAAGCAAGTGGTATAGAATGTAATACTTTGGCCCTACTTAGACCTGTCCTTCTAGCTGAAGCAGCATAGTGAATCTACCATGCAATCTGTATGGGTGTACGACTAGTTGTAATGCCAAGAAGTGCAGCTTATTTCTGCAAGTAAGCAATGTGAGAACACATGGACATTCTTCATCTTAAGGGAAGCTTTGGGAGATGTAGGTAAGAATAAGATTCATCTTGTGAGACCTTTTCCACATGCTTGATCTACCCTTGATTTTCTTGCAGTTGATTAACAAGCACTGGAAATAGGTTGGGCATGGTTATTCCACCCTGTGCATTTTCACAGTTGTGGAGTCAGTTTATTTTCTTTTGTGCGTGCCTTAAATAATGAGAAGTTTCAACGGAAGGTTCTGTCATCATTGATGGTATCATCAGTGGTGTCACAGCACCTTGTTGTTTTTTTAATGGCCCTAAACTATCAATATAGTGTTGTAATGATAGTTAAGGTCTCGGTCACATGGGCCGTAAAATGCGCGCGGGGGGAGCGTGGCAGTTTGGCCTGGAGCAAAATAACGCGCGGCCGCCCGATCACACATTCCGTCAAGGTCCCGTGGGTAGGGGCGAGGTGGCGATCACATGATGATCCTGCAGCGTGGCAAAGAAGCAGCGCGGCGCGATCTCACCAACAGCATGCGCGATTCTGCGGAGCAATGGAACTTTCGCTTTCCTCTTCATGCGCATGTGCTGTTGGGTGTGTTGGTCCTCCGTGGGGGACTGTGGGGGGGGGGGAAACCTGTTTGCGATGGGACATGGGCGGGCGCCGGATGCCACAAACTACCACCAGAAACGCGATCAGACGCCAGCCCTTGCTTCGCACTTTCCAGAAACTAGTACCTCGGAGGTACTAGTTTTTAACTCCGCATCTTCCGCGGAAAGCCTCGGGTTTGCCATGGGAGCTCAACGCTTCCCAGATGTTGCAGTGTGATCGCGCCCGGAAAATCTGCCTATCATTTGTCTCAGTAGCGTGGCTAATGCTCTGTGTGACCGCAGCCTAAGTAGGTTTTCTGAATTCCCAGCTTTCATTACAAAACAAAAGTAAGTCTCTATCCCTTGTTCTCACAGAGATATGCCTTTTTCCTTATATCTACATGAAGGAGGAGACTAGAGGCTTACAATTTTTAAAAAAATGAAAGTTGGGAATTTAGAGAACCTGGTTAAACTATTACAACACTATATCAATATTTTAGGACCATTTAAATAAAATAAAAACTGAAACCGCTCATCTTCAGGCTAGAAGAGAGGACAGGGGGAGTGGTGGTAATAATCCAGCCCTTGAAAAGTGGGCTGGAGGTGGTTGGGACCAAAAGAACCAACAGAAACATTATGCCTGAGAAAAAAGCTGACTCAAAATCAGCATCTAGAAAAAGATCAGGGTAAAAGTGGCCTCAAAACCTGGGAAATAACAAACTGGGGGGGGGGGCATAAATATCCTGAGGAATAACCAAAAGAAGAGCAAAAATGAAAGGCACAAAATGTGGGGGGATAAACTGAAGCAGTATGCGGCCAGAACTGATAGAAAAAACACATACCGAAAAGCTCTGAGTTTGGTCTTTGAGGAGTTATAGGGAAATTGATTCAGATTCCTTTTCCCCTAGAAAAGGTAAGGCTGAGGAAACCAGACCCATAATGTTTCCTGTTTCAAGGCAGAATTCCAGTTTTCAAGACTGATTCATGCTCTCACATCTTGAATCCCCCCCTCTTTCTTTCTTTCTTTCTTTCTTTCTTTCTTTCTTTCTTTCTTTCTTTCTTTCTTTCTTTCTTTCTTTCTTTCTTTCTTTCTTTCTTTCTTCCCTGATTAGTATCTGCTTCATTTAATGTTTGTCAACAATATTTTCAGTTAAGAAAGCCTTCCCAAAGTTGAGCTGGATAGATCCGAACAAGCTTTGCAACAGAGCTTCTGTTAAAATAAATCTAGCAAAGTTGGAGCTGCAAAGATCCAAACAGAGGTCGTTGCAAAAACAGGTCTCTCATTGCAATTCAGGTCAAGTTTCCTAAATTTGAGCTGATAGCTCAGAGATTAGATCTCAGGCTCAGAGATTAGTTCCTTTGTCAGGTAAACAGGAGATGCCTAGGTTACTGTATACAGGCTAAAACTGCACTTTAAAATATTGTGGTTTTCCTTTATTCTTGGTAGAGTTATATTTGTGCTTTCCTCCCTGCCAGATAGCAAAGACATAAGAATGGATGGACAGAACCGAACCCAGAAGCAGCAATGATTTCCCTTTCTTCAGTATCTCTTCTTTGGTATCCATTCACGAAATCTGGCTGAAGATGAGCATTTTTGCAATGCTGGGAAGAGAGAAGAGCTGGCATGTTACAGTGGCTGGTGATACTGGGATGGACATTGACCTTGCAGCTGAGATCAAGAAGACCCATCTTTTTTTCCACGTGGTTTGTTTTAAATATTGATCATTTGTGTAACTATTTTTACTTGTGAGGCCCCCTCAAGCAGCTCTCTAAAAAGGCGTCAAGTTCCATAAACAAAGAAACAATCCTTATGATCCTGCCATCTCTTAGCCTCAGCTCATTTCTTGTAAAAATAGAAGTGATTAAAATATACCACATTTACTCAAAAAGATTACTCTGAATTTTAAGAAGACCCAGGACATAACTGTCACTTGTATGTGAATAGATCAAGATTGGTAGCCGTGTTAGTCTGTCTGTAGCAGTAGAAAAGAGCAAGAGTCCAGTAGCACCTTGAAGACTAACAGAATTTGTGGTAGCTTTCGTGAGTCACTGCTCACTTCCAGCTAGAAACTGAAGAAGTGAGCAGTGACTCACGAAAGCTCATACCCTGCCACAAATGTTGTTAGTCTTTAAGGTGTTTCAGCAGGCAAACAGTAGTCTGACACCTGAGGCTCAGGTGTCCTCACCTCCCCTCTGTTGGGGTCAAACAAGGGCTACCAGCCTCCAGGTGGGGGACTGGAGATCTCCCAGAACCTGGCCCATAGCTCACATGGGCCCAGCCCCCTTATGTTTCTTCTGGGCCCCCTCTCTCCTGGGCTGCCCCCAACATGCTCCAACTTACCACCTGCACTGTACTTCCATTTAAATTAGCTGGCGGGCCCCCAGAGGCCCCCTCCCAAAGAATTCCCTAGCTACAGGGCTGCCCAGAACTGTAGTTGATCTCCAGACTACAGAAACTAGTTTCCCTGAGGAAAATGGATGCTTTGCAGGACGGACTCTGTGGCATTATATCCTTTAAGGTGTTACTGCTCTTGCTTTTTCGTATGTGAATGTAAGTCAGACCCCTCTTATTTTTGATGGCACACAAAAAGGGGGGAAACCTAGTTTTGCATTGGAGTAAATCATCAGATCATCGGGGCAAAACACGACAGACACTGTATATAGTATTTCGATTGAAGAGTGGCTCAAATTGGACACCGTGATTTTGAAACTGGGTAGTTGAATGAACAGCCACCCAGAAGTGGAAGAACCCAACTCTTCTGGTTCCTTAGGATTAAGTTTGGATGCTCCAGTTGTCTAACGTTGCCTGTATGTGGGAAGGAAGAGATAAAAACAGACAAACTGGTCAAGAAAAATAGGCTTTTAGAAAGGTTTTGGAATGACTGGATGATGTACACCTATATTCATTGCTAAGCGTTATAATTTATTATTGAATCGTCATGTTTATACAAATCTGTAATATTGTTATTGTTCTTAATAAAAAAAGGGGGGGAACCTTCAAACCACTGAAAAATGTTTGTCTTCTACAAAGAAACCTTTGAACATTGTAGTTTAATTTGATGCTCCTTTATCTCTCTGTCTATCTTGTGCTACTGCCCCAGGGTCTGGAGAGACACCTGCCATAAAAGGCCACTGAGGACAGATTGACTCTTTCATAGTTCAGGTCCAGAGGCTAGACACAGAAGGACAGCAAAGAGGAAAAATTTTTTGCTCAGGTCTGGCTGCGTACAGAGCACCTAGGCCAAGGGTGGTTTTCTTAAGGCATGCCTCCAGGGTTAGGGTCGCCAGGCTCGACTCAGGAAATATCTGAGGACTTTGGGGTGGAGCCAGGAGACTTTGGGGGTGAAGCCAGGAGCAAGGATGGGACATCATGATTGAACTCCAAAGGGAGTTCCGGACATCACATTTAAAGGGACTGTGTTCCATTTAAATGCCTTCCCTCCATTGTAAATAACAGAGGATGGGGCTTCTTCTTTTGGGGCTCATAGAATTGGACCCCCTGGGTCCAATCTTTTTGAAACTTGGGGGATTTTTGAGGAGAGACACCAGATGCTCAACTGGAAATTTGATGCCTCTACATCAAAAAACACCCCCCCCCAGAGCCCCAGATAGCCACAGTTCAATTCTCCATTGTACTCTATGGGGACCGGTCTCCACAGGGTATAATGGAGTGCCCAGCAGACATTGCTTCCCCCCCTCCGCTTTCTGATAACTCTGAAGTGGGGGGAGGACCTCCTAACCAGGGGATCCCCTGCCCCCAACTGGGGATTTGGCAACCTTACTCCAGGGTTACAGGAAGAGAACACACTTTGGGCATGCTAGGCCCAAGGGATAAGCAGGCCCGGCCATGGTGTGCCCGAGAGAGACTTAAAAGGGGGTTAGGGCTGGAGTGTCAGAGTATAGGGGAGTGAGTGTGAGGGAGGCCAACTTCTTTGGCCTGTTTTTTTGCCCCAGGGCATGAGGCAACTCCCTGGGTGGTGCTACTTTGTAACAGAGTTGTGGGGTAAAATAAAGACTAGTTGTGAGTTGCTACCTGCTGTTTCACTGTTGCACTATTCTCCCACCCAGCCAGATTATGGACTGCAAGTCACTGCCCAGCCTGCCTAGGCCAGTGGCTCTAGTCTCTCTGTCACCAGTACCAATCACAATCACATTTCTGTGCTTCTCCTCTCCCTCTCTCTGGAGACAAGAGGACTGAATATGCAACAACTCCATAGAAACAACTCCATAGAAAACCATAGAGTTTTCCCTCGGATGCCCGTGGCCCCGCCCCCAGCATGCCCGGCGTGGTCGCGTCACTTCCGGATGACTTGCATGTCACGTACTTTGGGGGTGGGGTTCCCCCTGGGGCCTGATCCGCCGGCGGATCAGCAAGCCTACACCCAGACCTAAGGACATATCCAGGAAAGCTTTATCATGTAGTTAAGCCTAACTCAATGCTCTGTTCAGAGATCAAGGTTCATGACTGTTTCTTGGAGATGTGAGCTGCCCTGAGCCTGCTTTGCGGGGAGGGGGGAAATAAATAAATGATTACAGACAAGCAGAACGCAGAACGCAGATTAACCAGCCAAGGTATGATTGCCAGACACCTAAATGCAGCCATCTTACAGAAGTTACGCAGGGCTGGCTCCTCTGGTCAGGGCCTGGATGAGAGATCTCCTGCAGATCTTACATATGCCTCTTCAAGTTCTGAAATGGAAGAAAGGTGAACTACAAATTGTTGTTGTTGTTCAGTCGCACAGTCGAGTCCGACTCTTCGCGACCCCATGGACAATCTCCCGCCAGGCTCTCCTGTCTTCCGCCGTCCTCCGAAGTTGGCTCAATTTCATGTTCGTTGCATCGCTGACACTGTCTAACCATCTCATCCTTTGCCGTCCCCGTCTTCTTTGACCTTCAATCTTTCCCAGCATCAGGGTCTTTTCCAGTGAGTGCTCCCTTCTCATTTGGTGGCCAAAGTATTTGAGCTTCAGTTTCATTATCTGGCCTTCCAGGGAACAGTCAGGGTTGATTTCTTTGAGGATTGACTGATTTGTTCTTCTTGCAGTCCAAGGGACTCTCAAGAGTCTTCTCCAGCACCATAGTTCAAAAGAATCTATTCTTCGGCGCTCGGCCTTCCTTATAGTCCAACTCTCACAGCCATACATGACTACTGGGAATACCATTGCTTTGACCATGCGGACTTTTGTTGGCAGGGTGATGTCTCTACTTTTTATCATGCTGTTTAGGTTCGCCATCGCTTTCCTCCCAAGGAGCAGGCGTCTTTTAATTTCATGGCTGCAGTCACAGTCTGTGGTGATCTGGGATCCCAGGAACGTGAAGTCTGTCACTACTTCCACGACTTCCCCTTCTATTTGCCAAGGAGTGATGGGGCCGGATGCCATGATCTTAGTTTTTTTGATGTTGAGCTTCAAGCCCACTTTTGCGCTCTCCTCTTTTACTCTGAGCAAGAGGCTCTTTAGATCCTTTTCACTTTCAGCCATTAGAGTGGTATCATCTGCATATCTGAGGTTGTTGATCTTTTCCCCAGCAATCTTAATTCCCGCTTGTGATTCATCCAGGCCAGCATTTCGCATGATGTACTCTGCATATATATTAAATAAGCAAGGTGACAGTATACATCCTTGTCGTACTCCTTTTCCTATGCTGAACCAATCAGTTGTTCCGTATCCGGTTCTAACTGTCGCTTCTTGGCCCTTATACAGGTTTCTCAAGAGACATGTGAGGTGGTCTGGTACTCCCATCTCTTTAAGGACCTGCCATAGTTTGTTGTGATCCACACAGTCAAAGGCTTTAGCATAGTCAATGAAGCAGAAGTAGATATTTTTCTGGTACTCTCTTGCTTTCTCCATAATCCAGCGAATGTTGGCAATATGATCTCTCGTTCCTCTACCTCTTCGAAACCCAGCTTGTACTTCTGGTAGTTCTCTATCCACGTACTGTTGAAGCCTAGCTTGTAGGATCTTGAGCATGACCTTGCTAGCGTGTGATATGAGTGCAATTGTGCGATAGTTTGAACATTCCTTGGCATTGCCCTTCTTTGGGATTGGAATGTATACTGATCTTTTCCAATCCTGTGGCCACTGTTGCGTTTTCCAAATTTGCTGGCAAATGGAGTGCAGAACTTTAACAGCATCATCTTCTAAGACTTTGAATAGCTCAGCTGGAATACCATCACCTCCACTAGCTTTGTTGTTAGTAATGCTTTCTAAGGCCCATTTAACTTCACATTCCAGGATGTCTGGCTCAAGGTCAGTGATTATACCGTCGTGTTTGTCAAGGACATTGAGGTCTTTCTTGTATAGTTCTTCTGTGTATTCTTGCCATCTTTTCCTAATCTCTTCTGCTTCTGTTAGGTCCCTACCGTTTTTGTCCTTTATCATGGCCAGCTTTGCATGGAACGCTCCCTTGATTTCTCCAATTTTCTTGAAGAGATCTCTAGTCCTTCCCATTCTATTGTTTTCTTCTATTACTTTGCACTGTTCATTCAGGAAGGCCTCCTTATCTCTCCTTGCTGTTCTCTGGAAATCTGCGTTCAGTTGGGTAAATCTTTCCTTTTCGCCTTTGCCTTTCGCTTTCCTTCTTTCCTCTGCTATTTGTAAAGCCTCATCAGAAAGCCATTTTGCTTTCTTGCATTTCTTTTTCTTTGGTATGGTGGTGATTGCTGCCTCCTGTACGATGTCACGAACCTCTGTCCATAGTTCTTCAGGCACTCTATCTATCAAATCCAGACCCTTGAATCTATTCTTCACCTCTACTGTATATTCATCAGGGATGCGATCTAGGTCAAACCTGAATGGCCTCGTGGTTTTCCCAATTTTCTTCAGTTTAAGTCTGAATTTTGCAATGAGTAGCTCATGATCTGAACCACAGTCAGCTCCAGGTCTTGTTTTTACTGACTGGATAGAGCTTCTCCATCTTTGACTGCAAATTATATAGTCAATCTGATTTCGGTGTTGCCCATCTGGTGATGTCCATGTGTAGAGTCGCCTCTTAGGTTGTTGG